CCCACCCCCGAGCCTCAGTTTCTCCAGCTACACATTGAAGGGCTGAACCAACCTGGAGATGGGTTTCAAATACTTGTTAACCAAGATACCCAGTGGGTGCTGGTCAACCACCCCCCAACCCCGAAACTCCTGCCAGACCCTGGTCCCAGATCCCCATTCCTGGGCGAGGGTGCCAGGCCTGAGCTGCCTGCCCTTGGGGGCCACCCCAGTTCCTCTACAGCCCCACCCTGCTGGAAGTGCTCTCGGAACAGGAGGCCCTGATCATGCTGGCCCAGAGCATCAGGGACCCCAGCCCCGAGGTCCGGGTGCTGAGCCTGCAGGGCCTCGGGAACATCCTCTTCCAGCCCGAGAAGGTACAGGCACCCCCACCCCGAAAGGGTGGGGCATGGGGTGTAGACAAGGAGCCCTGGGTTAGAATTCCAGCTCTCTCCTTTCCAGCCGTGTGGTCAGGGACACATGACTGTGCCTTTCAGCTTCCTCATCTGTAGAATGAGGCTGGGTTGACCTTTGGCAGGGTCATGGGCTTGGTGACCACCTCCACCTTGTCTCCTCCAGGCCCCGAGGTGGGTGCGGGGCAGTGCAGGCGTCCAGGCTGGGCTGGGGTCTGGGGAGGGACATCGCAGGGAGAACCTGAGTTGGTTCTGGGTCCAACCAGCAGGGTAGGGGTGGGGGGCACAGGGACAGTCTGTCCTGGCACCCCTGGCCCACCGCCCCTGCCACCCCCAGGGAAGCCTGCTACGTGAACAGCTGCTGCCCTTCCTCAACGGCTTCTTCCAAAATAGCGAGCCTGTGGTGGTACGTGTCATGGGCACAGTGTCCAACGTGCTGCACTGCCTGGGAGCATACGGCCCGGGGGCCCAGAGCCTTACTGTTGCAGTCAACACCCGCTCCTTCTTTGATGACGTGAGTGTGCCCCCAGTGGGGGCAGGGCACCCCCTACTCAGGCCCCTCCTGGGCCCCGTTCCTCGAAGGCAGGGGGAATCCCAGCTGGCCTCCAGAGAGGGCAGGGAGATGGAGGCTCGGGGCTCTGGGCGTGTGCCGGCTCAGGCAGGCCGGGCGGCACAGTGGCCGCCAGGTGGCGCTTGCCCTTCTCCACGGGCCTGAGCCTGAGCTCAGTCTCCAGCCCCACCAGGTCCACACCTTCCTAACTGGTCTTCATGTTTCCAAAGACTATTTTCCCTTCTCTGGGAAATTAGGAGATAAGTCCACCACCATTATACACTCGTGACACTCGGGTTGTCAGGATGATTATGAGTGTGAGAGCAAAGATTTTAGCCCTTGAGGGGGCCTGGGAGCTACCCCAGGAGCCCTGATGGAGAGGCAAGGCCCTGCCCTGGGTTCACCGGGCCTGGGTGATACAATCCTGCTGAGGGAACTGAGCCCTATCCCCACAATGGGGTGGGAAGGTTCCAAGTTGGGTGGAGGCAGGGCCGCCAGGCAGGTTTAGCTGTGACTCAGCAGCCCCTATCTTGCAGGAGCGGGATGGGATCCGAGCGGCGGCCATGGCACTGTTTGGGGACCTGGTGGCAGCAATGACAGGCAGGGAGCCCAGTAGCCTGCGAACCCAGGTACACCAAAGCATGGTGCCCCTGCTCCTGCACCTGAAGGACCGCTGTCCGGCTGTCGTCACGGTCAGTGCCTGCTAATGGGCCTTTGCCCTGGCAGGGCTGGAGACCCACAGGTGGCCAGGGATCATTGGGCTGGGGGTCTGCAGAGTAATGGGTCCCCCTGGGGCAGCAGGTTTGGCTCCTGCATTGGTTTCCCTCTCCACAGTCTGCCTGCCTCCCCATGTGCACGCACACACACACGATCGTCTGCTCTCCTGTGTGCACATACATGCATGCACACGTGTACACATGCAGCTGTGCCTTCTGTCCAAGCAAGACCCAGTTTCTTTTGCTCACTGCTATGTCCCCAGCACCTGCTACATGGTGGGGGACTCATATTGTTCACTGAACCTCTTGAAATATGGATGGAGCCCTACTATGTGTCAGCCTGTGCCCCACTCCCAGACCATTAAGACAGCTCAGCCTTCCTGAAGCTCCTGGCCACTGGGGAGGTGAACAATAAGCAGCCAGTTCCAAAACAAATGGGAGAGCTGCCTTCAGTCCAACCTGGGGCCCCAGCGCCGCAGCCTGGCAGCCCGGGCTTCCTCAGGGGCCAGTGAGGTGCCAGGGTGGATGCAACCAGGAGAAAAGTCAGGGAGGAGGACTGCTGGCAGTGGAAGAAGCCCAGGACGGATGGCCGCACCATCCCTGGGGCTTCCACAGACCCCACCCTAAGCCCTGGTCCTCTGGCTCAGAGACCCCAGGTAGCGGGTGACCCCTCCCTCGCTGTCCCTGTAGCAGGCCAAGTTCGCCTTCTACCGCTGCTCGGTGCTGCTCCAGTGGCATCTTCCACACACCCTCTTCTGCACACTGGCCTGGGAGAGGGGCCTCAGTGCCCGCCACTTCCTCTGGTCCTGCCTGGTGAGGGGCCTGGAGGTGGGGTGGGGGGCCCTGGGCTGCAGCTGGGAAGGGGAGGTGGGTGAGGAGCTAGCCCCAGTGAATGACAGGCATGCTGTCCTCTGGCCAGATGACCCAGAGCCAGGAGGAGTTCAGCATCCACCTGTCACAGGCCCTCAGCTACCTGCACAGCCATCATCACCACATCAGGACCTGGGCAGCACTCTTCATTGGTGACTGGGGTGACTGGGCTTTGGGAGCACCCAGGCCTGCCCCACCTGAGCACCCTGACCCTCACCAGCCTTGTCCCTCCCACCTAGCACCGGCCACACCACAACTAGACCTCAGGGCCCACTAGCAAGAGAGAAAAGGTGGCCCTGGCAGGTGTGGCTCAGTGATAGGAGCATTGGCCTACGCACCAAAGGGTCATGGGTTTGGTTCTCAGGCAAGGGCACGTACCTGGGTTGCAGGTTCACTCCCCACCCCCAGGCGGCATGTGCAAGAGGCAAACCAGTCCATGTGTCTCTTTCACATCTATGTTTCTCCCCCTCCCTTCCACTCTCTCTGAAGAGCAATGGAAAGAATATCCTCTGGTGAGGGTTAAAAAAGAGAGAGAGAGAAAAGGGGTGGGTTGGGGCCTTAGAAGGGCAGGAGTGGGTCTGAGCCCCCAAAGAAGACAGGGAGGCCCCACCCACCTATGAGCCCCATCCCCTGGCCAGCATGCTCTCCTCTGTGGAACAGGTTATACCATCTGCTACCACCCCCAGGCTGTGTCTCAGGTGGTGAATGGTGCAGATGTGAAGCTGCTGTTCTGCAGTAAGCAGCCCCCTCCCTCTGCCCACCCACCTGTCACAGGCTCACCCACTCCACCTAAGGCTACGGGGTGGGCGCCTCAGTGAGAGGGGCCCGAAGTGGGTGGTGTTGGGGATGGAAGCCTCCAGGCATAGAAGGTGGAGGGGGTGGGGCCCGGGCCCATCCTGCCGCCCCCATCCACCCCAGGGAGCATGAGGCCCCCTCCCTCCCCATGGGCAGTGCTGGGGGGTCTCCTCTGACTAGTTCCTCCTCTCCTGGAGCTTTTGAAAACTTCAAGAAGGACCTGGAGCCGGGCATCCGGGAATTCGCCACCAGGCAGCTCAGCTTCCTCGGAGAGTTAGCAGCCAGACAGAAGTGACCTCTGCCCCCTTCCTCACCTGCCCGCCCCATGCCCACCACCTGTCAGCCTGGCCCCATCTGCACAGAGCTTGGTTGCTTAACATTTTTTCATTTGAAAGAAAGATCTAGATTCAACAAAGAAGTGTCATGCCCATCGGCTCCCTGCCCACTAGATTCAACAAAGAAGTGTCATGCCCGTCGGCTCCCTGCCCACCCACCCCTGGGCCCCCAGGGGACTGAAGCCAGCCTAGGAGACAGACAGGAAGGGGTCCCATGGCCCGATGACCCTCTCCACCCTCACCTCCATCCCCCTGACACAGTCAGGGCTGGCACCTGGGTGGGCAGCAGAACCAGCCTGAGCCCAGGGTCAGACCTTCCCACGGGGGCCCGGCCACCTGGCTGAACTGTGCGGCCTCGGCTCTTCCATCTATAACATGGGTAGCAAGAACTTCCTCCTGAGGCCCACCTGACCTTCAGCCTGTCCTTCCCTCTCAGCCTTGGTTTCCCTACACGTGAAATGGGCAGTGTGCCCTCCCCTGGCCTCATCCCAGGCTCTCTCTCTCGGATCAGACCAGGCTGCAGCCCCTCTAGCAGTGTCCTCCAGCCCACCCTGCCCACCTGCCATTCTCTCCAGTGCCCACAATCCTCCTCCACACCTTAGCTCAGGCCACTCCTTCCACCAAGAGCCCCTCTCCACCGGCACCCACCTTGGTACCTCTAAGGCCCCATCCTTAGAGGACCAGTCTACATGTCCCCTGCCCCCAGCCCCTCATCAGCTCCTCCTATGGCTGGACAAACTCCTAGCCTGCCACCCCCACCCCCTCAAGGCAGGGATGTGGCCACATGGGGATGGCACAGGGAGGCCCCACCACTTGGATGGTGGGTTAAAAAATACAGCGACCCTCCTGGAGAGCACATGTTGTGTCCTGAGATGTGTTCAGGGAACAGAGGAAAAATACATTTGGTAGAGCTGGCAGCCCCCTCTCCTCCCAGGAGCCCAGAGAGGACCAGGGTCTGTGCCCCTTCCCACCCGCCACCTCATCCCTCCAGATGGGGCCTCCCGGGGAGAGGCTGTGCAGTGGCTCAGCCTTTACACAACGGCCCCGTCTTGCCCACTGACCCCCCTCTACTCCAGCCCCTGACCTGAGGCTGGGGGCGCCCTCCTTTGGGACCAAGGAGCTGGGGAGGAGGGGTCCCCTTGGTCCAGCCTAGTGGTGTGGTGTGAGTGGGGGTGCCATCTCCCTTGAAGGGTGCTTCCCTGGTCTTGCCCACTGGCCGCCCCCAGGTGCCTCTGGGCAGTGGGTGGGCAGGCATCCTCCATGCTGCCCTGCAGCCCATTTTCCCTCCTGAAAATCAGGTTTAGTAAAGCCTGGAGCTGGGTGGGTTCCTGGAGCCAATGGTGATTGGACAAGCCCCTTGGGGAAACTGAGGCTCAGAGAAGCTGAGTCTGGCAGTGAGGAGGAGCCCAGTTCCTACCTAGTGAGGTGGCCAAGCTCTGCACAGCCAAGCACATGGCAACTGGCCCAGGCCACAGCAGGCCAGGGAATGGAGAGATCAGGCCTGTGTCCATGTCAGCCACCCACCCAGGGCCCCCAGCAAGGTGCAGCCCCGGCACTCATCCTTCCTGGGCCCACCTCCTCCCCTGGGAAAAGAAGTGATGACCTGGGGAGCTGAGAAAGCCCCTATCCCAGAATGGGTGCAGGGTGCAGGGTGTGAGGGAGGGGCAGGCCAGGTGGGGCCATGAGGGGGAGGCCAGGCAGGTGGGTGCAGGTCGGAGGTGGCCTGCATGCAGAACCCAGCACTACAACTCCTACCACAGCCAGCAGGTCCCAACGACAAGGAGAAGGGGTCAGTAAAGTCCTCTGGGGGTATCCAAAGGTGAGTGACAGTGCCCAGGGAGCAGAGGCCCTGGGTGGCACCACCTCCAGCCTTGCCACTCCCAGCCCACCAGACTAGCCCCGGTCCCTCCCCCAGCTGTGTTCCTGTCCTCCAGGAACCTTGTCCTCAGTCCAGAGAGGGCCGGCCCCCAAGTCTGCAAGACCCACACACAAGAGCACTGAGGCCAGGCACCCTGCACACACACTCAGGCCCACTCACCCACGGGTGCCCCAGGGTCACCCTCTGCCCTTCTGGCATCCCATCCCTGCCCTGGGCTGATGGGATGGCATTGTCCCTCCACCCTAAGCCAAGTCAGCCACCATCAACTGCTCCCTTCTGGTCCTCTAAGGCTGAGATGAGGACACCTAGTGGGGCAGGACAGGGCAGACACCCACTGGACAAGACCCCAGCCTTGCCTGGCCGGGCATGGCTCAGCGGTTGAGCGTCGACCTAGGATCCAGGAGATCGGGGTTCGATTCCCGGTCGCAACTGATCAATCACTCTCTCATCACTGCTGTTTTTCTCTCTCCCTCTCCCTTCCTTTCTCTGAAATCAATAAAGACATTAAAAAAAAAAAAAAAAAAGACCCCAGCCTTGCCTTCTAACACCCCAGCCCCCAAAACATCAGCATGGCAACCACGGAGCCCGGCTCTCTCTGCAATATGAGAGATGTCCCCTGTCCTTAAGCTAGGGAACGCAGGGACCCAGCATGGACACCAGAGGGAGCCCCACACAGCCACAGGGTCCTGTTTTATTGCCTTCAACTGTCCAGAACAGCTGACCATCCTCAGACCCAATAATTTAGGAGGCTGAGAACAGGTCAGGGCGAGGGGCTGTGGAGGAGGGGTCCTGCCCAGTGGTTAAAAAGTACACCTGTCCCCAACACAAGGCCAGAGAAGAGGGGGAGCAGGGAGGGTGATGGCAGGAAGGTCAGGGACAGGGCCCTGGACTAAGCCTCAGAGATACAGACACAGGACACAGAGACAGACACAGGGCATGGAGACAGGACACAAAGGGAAGGATGGATGTAAAAAGAGGCTGACGGGCAGACACAGGGAGAGACAGAGAGAGAAAGAGAAAGGCAAGGGTGCTTGGGCGGAGCTGGACCCCAGGAGGCAGGTGTGCTGAGGTGTTGGAGAGAAAGGCCAGATGGAGGTGCCAGGCCCTGCTGGGTGGGGCATGGTGGCTCGGCCACCCCTCAGCCCCAGGCGGTTGAGGTCCTGAGCTACATGACACAGCATTTGGTCTTGTGCGTGTGTGGGTCTTTGAACCGCAATCTCTGTTTAGGCCGGTATTTTTCCAGGTAGGTGAGCTGTTTGCTGTTGATGGCTCCGCGCCGCTTCCTGGGGAGACAGGACAGGGGTAGGGATCAGGTGGGACCTGGTTCAGCCACCTGCCCTGCCCCAGGGAGCTCGAGGCCCAGGAGTCCAGTGGAGCTAGAACAGAGCCCATCCTACCTTTGAGCCTTTGCCTGAGCTGTTCCTACTGCCAGGATCACCCTTCCCAGTCACCTGCTGTCACCCCTGCTGGCCTTCAACTCACCTGCTACCACCTCCTCCAGGCTGACTCCCTGATCTCCCCACCTCCATAGTACCTACCCTTCCAAGGCCCCCATGTTTACCCAGGTACTGGCCCAACCCCAGGCCTGCAGGCTCCTGGCCACACAGGGTGAGGTGTGGACAAATCTGGGTGGAGGGAGAGAGAAAAGGGAGGAAGGGAAGGAGGGAGGGAGGGAAGCGGAGGCTCCCAAGTGACAAGGTGTGGCAGGTGCCTAGGATGGTGCAGCAAGCACTTCTGGAAGTCATCCACCCCTACTGCCCAGGACCTCAAATGCGGCCATGGACTTGCTCTGGCCAATGAAATGTGAATGGAAGAGACACCTGTGAGCCAGGCAGAGCTTCAAGAGCCATTGTGTGGCTCCACCATGGCTTTCCCTGTGTCTGTGACCCAGCGACTGGCAACGCTGGAGATGGGGCTGCCCCTGTTGACGGTATCAGACAGGTCCCATGAGCGGGGACACCCTGTGTGGTTCCAATGGCTGGGGTTGGGGCCAGCTCATTACTGCAGCACAACCCAGCCTGTCCTGACTCACACGGCCTTGGGCTGAGGGACCACAGTCCCAGAGGTTGGACTAGCCAAGCCTTCACCTCGCTTTCTCCTCACCACACTCCTGGCCCTGGGGTTGGGGGGGCCACACACAGAGGCTAATCCTCGCTCACAGTGGGCAGCGTGACCCTTGGCCCTCAGGAGGGTGCACTGGGTACCACAATGAGGCTGCATGGGACTGGGGCCACCTCAGAGGACATCCGGAGCCAGGGGTCAGGAGTGCCTGCTGGCAGGGCTCTGGGCCCCTGCAGGGTGGGTAGCCTCCTAATACCTGGACCCCTAAGCTGTTGCCAACCACCCTCGCCCACCAGTCGGCCACTCACTGTCGGATGAACTGGATGGCATCTTCATACTTCATCCCGCTCTCGATGAGGGCCAGTGCCACGAGGACCGGAGCCCTGGGGGCAGACAGCAGGGCCGGGTCATCCAAGCCTCTGCTCCCCTCCCTGACAGGCCACCTGCTGAAGACGCAGGGCTGATGCCTTCACCCTCCACTAGACAGCTGCCCAGACCCCCCTGCCCCCATGCCCTTCCCTCCCCCATGAAGGGCACAGGCATGAAGCTCAGCTCAACTACCTGGGTCCAAATCCCATTCCCTCCTAGCCCTGCTGTGACCTTGAGTGAGCCAGGCAACCTCTTTGCTGGGCTCGGGATAAGAGCTTGATACTCAGCTATCAACCTTGCTCACCAGTCTTCCCTCTGCAAAGCTAGGTTGTTTCAGTCAAATCCAGGCTGTTTAATGGGGTCGGGGTCTTAGTGTCTGGAGAGGGGTGGGGCTAGCAGGAGGGAGTAGGGTCAGACTTCAGGAAGGACTTCCTCCCTACGAGGCTGGGAGGCTGATGTCTGGGAACCTTCTGGAAAGAGGTCATGTGTGATGTGGGCTTAACACCCACATTTGAGAGCAAGTCAGACCATGAGATCTCCATGTTTAAGCGAGCCCCACCCTGCCCCCCAGATCACCTTCCCAGGCCAGCCACGCAGTGCACGGCCACACAGCTGCCAGGGTCATCGCAGAACTTGGCCTTCAGCAGGCTCAGCCAGTCCTCCACCACCTTGCCAGGCGGGGGTGCCCCATCATCAAATGGCCAGTCCTGCAGAGGGAAGCAGCCTGTGAGGACCCCTGCCCCAGAAATGAGTGGACCAGCAGGTCCAGACCAACCTGTCCCCAGCCTCCAGATGCAGCAACACCTGAATGAAACCAGTCTGCCTGGCTGCCTTTGGTCTAACCCAAGTCCTTCCTGCTGCAGGGGAAGGAAGGAAAGGCCATTTACTCCCTCACTAAGAGACACTGTACACACTTTTATATTGAGTCTTTCCAAGCACCCAATCTGTACAGGTGAGGATCCAGGTTCACAAGGCTGGGAAGGGCCAGAGGCGGGATTCAGGCCAGGGCCTCTGTGACCCTGAAGCTCTGGCTCCTTCTGCCACTCCAAACAACTGAGCAGAGATTATAAAATGGCAACTGCCAAAGACAGGGTCCTCTGATGTTGAGGTGGCTGAGGCCCAGGCAGAGCTGGGTGGGGCCTGTTAGATACCTTTTGTGCCTCCAGCCCAAGTCAGGGCAACCTTGTTCCAGGGAGGTGCCAAGAGACCCTCCCACAGGGCTGTGGTGACACAGCCACCCACCCTCTACACAGATCCACGTCCCAGGGCCAGGGACCAAGGAAACAGCCCAAGGGTCCCTCCCCACAGCCTCCACAGACAGCCTCCCCAGGGGCCAGCCAGGTGTATCTGCCCCACCCTACCTGCAGCTCCTGCTGCTCAGTGACAGAGCCGCAAATAAAGGCAGCAAGTGACTGAACGGAGGCCTCTGAGATAGGCACAGAGCTGCTGGACTCCCTGCTCTGCCCCACACTCACTGGGAGACCTTGGGCTACCTCCGAGCCTCAGGCATCTGCACAGTGGGACCACGTCCCATCAGGCAGGGCTGTTGGGGTCAGAGTCCCAGCCCCTGACTGAGGAGCACCCCTGCAGGGGGTGCTGTTACCAAAGTGCCACTCCCCACAGTCCTAGTTCTGCCGCACTCTGGCTATGGCCTCAGACAGCCACTGACCCCAGCCTCAGTTTTCCCACAACCAAGCCACTCGGGGGCTGTACTGAGGCTGAGAAGCCGTGGTGCCTGCCGCCCCAGTGTGGGAGTGCTGGCTGTGGGAGTCAGGCTGTGGCAGTGCTCGGAGCCTGCGTTCCCGCCTCCTGGGCCAGGCTGGCCTGGGAGAAACACACTCACTCTAGAGGTAGGAAAAGGCCCTGCAGAGAGGAGGTGACTCACTCGAGGTCACAGAGCCCGCTGCCTGAGCCTCCCCAAGATGTGTCCAAACACACAGGGCCCAACACAAACATGCTGGGGTGGCAGGTAGCACACAGGGAGACCACAGTGCCTGCCTCACAGCACTGTCCAGATGGATAGAGAGCCCCCTCCCAGGGCAGCTGCAGAGCCATCGGCACCACTTGACCCTCACCACGACCCCCACCACAACCCTCACCACAACGGTGATGCCATCCTTCTCCAGCAGGGCCTTGTCGTAGGTCACTTCGCACACCCGCACCACGGTAGTGGCCCCATACTTCTTCAGGTCCTGGTAGGGAGAGAGAAGGCTGGGCTGGGCTGGGCTGCAGGGCTCAGGGGTGGGAGCCCAACCCGAACCCCCAGAGCAGGCCCCTCATGCCCAGCTAAACAAGACAGAAAGGCTGATTTGAAACGTAAGCCACCGAGGTGGCCTTTTGGGCTCTGTGACTTGCTGGGTGCAAGTCTTTCCTGATGCTTCTGGGGCAACTGCACCCTGGTCTACCCATCAGGGAGGAGGTGTCCCCACCCAGGCTCATTGTGATCGCAGCCTCCAGCACACTACCTCCCTGTTCTTGGGTGCTCAGGGCCCAGGAAGACCCAATTTTCCAGACAAACCTCCTGGATCCCCAAGCAAGGACAGGACACCACCAGCCGCATGTGGGCTACTGGATGACCCTGGCTCAGGGGTCATGAATGGTCCAGTCAAGGGGCACCTCCAGACCCCGCACTGGGGCCATCAGTCTGGGAGGGGCAGGCCTCCAGGGCCAGGGAGACCTTGGCGCGGGAAGAGGGGCACGTGCTGAAACGGCAGAAGGAAGCTAGGCTCTGGGTACCAGTGGGGAAGCCCCAGGGAAAAGGTCAAGGCAGTTCACAGCCAGGCCCAGGGATATTTATACCCGGGGGGGGGGTATCCCCTCCACCAGCCACAGGCAGGGGCTGCTCCCACCCCACCTGCTCCCAGCAGCTATTTTGGGGGTGGTGAGGAATCAGCTGCTGGACCTTGCTGGTCATGCGGCAGGGACACTGGACACAGTGAGGGCAGAACACAGTACCTCTGAGAATGTTGGAGCAGGACAGGGTGCAGGGCTCTGAGGCTGTGGAGGTGCCTAGATCCCTCTGTGCCTGCAGCAGAGGGTGCTGTCACCCAGCCAAGGTCGAAGCTCTGACCCCAGGCATGCACTTTACCCAGACCCCGGTCACACACTGAATCCAGACCCTGGTCACACTCTGAGCCCTGACCCTGAACACAGGCTGAACCTTGACACTGGTCACCCTCTGAGCCCTGACCCAGGTCACAAGCTGAGTGCTCTGCTCAGTCTCTTCCTAGGCCCTGAGATTATCTCAAGGGTCTCAGCTGTGAGGGGACAGCCCTCTGAAGGGCCCCTGGTTCACATCCTGGGTCCAGCCCCTCTGATGGCAGGGTGCTCCTGCCTCCCCTTTATAGTTTTCAAGGCTCCCTCATGCCCAGATTCCTGTGTATGGTGACCAGCACTCACCCTGCAGAGGGAAGAGGCTGCACACAGCCCCAGGCTCTGCAAACAGCAAGGAGTTCGAACCCCCCACACCCCAGTTTCCACTGGATGCCGGAGGCCCTATGAAGAGACCCAGGCTGGGGCTACGAGCAACACCCACCTGCCTGCCCACTCTCCAGGGTGCAGTGGTCGCTCTCTCCTGTGGCAAGCTCGGACTCTTGCTCAGCCCCTGCTCACACAGACAGCGGCGCCCTGAAGCCCCCAGCCCAGCCTGTTCTAACCGAGGCCTCCGGGAGAGCCTGTGGGCTTCCTGCTGCCTGAGGTGGCCCTGGAGCTGGCCGTGGTGCTGGCCTCCAAGCCACTCCCCCACCTGCCAGTCTCTCCAGCAGCCCCTCCTCACCTGGGGGGCCCCCCTCCTCCTTCCTGCTCAGCCTCTGCAGAGGCCAAACAGCCAGCAAAGGGTGCGAGGCTGCTCCTCCTAATTCTGAACCTGCCTCTGTTCAGGCAGCCTGGAGTCCACCTGCCCACAAGCCAGCCCCCAGGGAGCCAGTTGATCCCCAGCAGCCCTCACCCAGAGCTCCCAGGACACTCTCGTGTCCCCCCTTGGGGATTCTGTAACCAGGGCACCCATTTTGCCCCCACTGGGCTGACAGCTACAAATCTCTCTCGGGAGGCTGAGGGCAGCTGGGCCAGGCTTCCGGATACCTCTCCCGGCCACTCACCTCGATGAAGGTGCTGAGGGTGGCGTCTGTGGGGTTGTGCGTGATGAGGAACCGCATGTTCTTGTAGCTCACCTCCACAGGGGCCGGCCGGTTCATGCGTGCCATGGCTCCTCCCCGAGACGGGCTGGGGACACTCACAGGAGGGGCCCCCAGACCCCCAAAACCCAAGAACGGGATCTCTGTGCTTTTCCAAAAGAGAGAAAATGCTTTTTAAAAAACCTGCCCCCGCACCCCGCACAAATATTGTGCAAATACTTGGGAGGGGGTAGGATGCTCTCGGAGTGGGGATAGTTAAAAAAGAAAACTCAACTCTTTAAAAAGAAAAAGAAAAAACAGCGCCCCCGCCCAGAGTAAAACGGGCCAGTCCAGCTCCTGCCTCTTAGAGACGAATAATCATAAAAGGGCGAAAATAAAAATAACCAAAAAGCTCAGCAAAGAAAACTTTTAAAAGCCTAGAGTCAATCTGGCCGTCGATCCGTGCCCAGGGCTGTGCCTGTCACTGGGGACGTCCTCTCTGCATTGGTGGACAGATGGACGGGTGGACAGTCCTCTTCACTCAAAGGCGAGCCCCAAGCCCACAAGGACTAAAGGAAAAACAAACTTAAACTGAACCAATAGAGCGTCCTTGGGGTGGGGGTCAAAGGCGATGGCCACGGCGGGCAGTGGCTCTGATGCACGGGCCTCTGTCACGTTACCCCATCGGGGCACGGCAAGTCCTGGCAGGGTGCAGGGGGCTCAGGTGGCCCTGGGCCGGGTGGAGGCCATCGGCAGGCGAGGGCAATGGTGAGGGCCAGAGGCACAGGGGCCCCCTCAGCAGCAGGCACGGCGATGCTGGGCACGGCAGTACTCAGAGCTGCCCCGCGAGGCCCTCTCCATGAATCCCAGGCCAGTCAGCAGCAGGCAAGGTCTGCAGATGGAGGGGAGAAGGAAATGAGAAGAGCAGAGGTCACCGGGAGCCCCACCTCCTGAGAGGGCTGTCAGCCTGCCCAACCCCCACCGTCACAGTGATGCTTTTCCCAGGGCCCTGCTGCAGGAGTTCAGGTCTCAGTTTCCCCATGCGAGAGCACAAGGGAGGACAGCTCCTGTTTGGACTGACCCAGGGCTCTGAGGTGAAAGGACAGCCACCAGGACGGAGTGGAGAGGGAGAGAGGGAGGGAGGGATTTCAGGGTCACACACACACCCTAGAAGAGTCCTGAACCCCAACATGCAGATGCCCAGGTGGTCTATGGTAACAGAGGCCTAGCACCCTGAGCCTGGCCCCCTCCTGGGCTCACCAGACACCTACCCACACCCCAGAACAGTCCCCTGTCCACTGGGGAATTTCTGAGCCTGGTGATTCTGGGGCGGCCGGTCCTTGGGGAAAGGCTCTCAGGCATGGAGGCCGGGGTGCTGGGACCCACTGTGTGAGTGGAAGAAGGCCCCACTCATAGTCATGAACCCTTAAACGTCTCCACTCCAGCTTCTGTCCCCACCATTCCCCACAGGGTTGGCCAGGCACAGAGGTAAACAAGCCGGGCTCTGCCCTCCATCTGGGAGCTCAGGGAGCCAGGACAAACCACAACAGCCAAAGGGCCACCCACCGGGCACACGCCAAGGTGGTGACCGAGCAGGTGGCCAGGAGTGGGGTCACTGTAACAGGGCGTGGGGAGGAATGCTGCTGGGCCACAGAGACAGCCATCAGGCACCTCCATTCCTGTCTCTCCCTCTCTGGGCCCCAAAGGCCCCAGGCCTAGGGCCTCAGCAGCAGCACCAGCCCCACTCACACCCCACAGGTGGGCTAAGGGCCTTGGACATATCACTGGCCTCAGTTTCCCCACCTGCACAATGAGAGTCCAAACAAGATGCCCCCAAGGTCCCACCAGCTGGGGCCCAGTGGTCAACAGACTCCTCCAGCCATTGGCTCAGCCCAAGCCCCACGGCTGGCACTCCTAACCGCTCACCTGGTAGGGCTCTCCATGCCCCAACCCACCACCTCTCACCTCTGCCCTTGCCCCTGCCCCCCCTTCTCCAGCTGCCCACCAGGCAGGCTAGGCCACTGGAGCTTCAGCCTGGGTGCAGGAAGGGCCCAAGGCCTGAGACCCTGAATGCTGTGGACCAGCTCGACCGCCACTCCTGGACTCAGGGCAGATGCCACGTCTCACTCACACCCTGCCCCTTGCGTGGCCGGGGAGGGTTAAACAGGGGTGTAGTGCCCCGGGAGGGGGAGAAAGGCAGAGCGAAGGAATCCTGTCCTGTCTCCGCAGCCAGCCTGTGCCATCCAGGAGCCAGAAAGAGAGAGCTGCGGACGGCCCAAACACCAGCGCACAAATACCTGCTCCCGAGGCAGCAGGATACCCCCGTACATGTGTGTGCATGTGTGCGTGTGTTTACCAGAATGAGAGGAGAAAAAAGGTCCAAGGAAGCCACAGGACTCCGGGCCTTTCCCTGAGCGGCTGACCACCACCTCACTGCCACCGCTGCCAGGCACCTGGGAGACCCTGTGGGCATCCGCAGATGGCCTGGCTCTGCTGCCCAGTACCCCTCAGGTACCAAAGTCCTCAGGGCCAAAGGTCGCTGGGCATGGAGGAGCTTAGAGCCACCCCACGTTCCTGCACACTTGAGCCTGCAAGTGTCACTTATCAGTGGGGTCAGGGATTAGACTGGCCAGGGTCAGAGGTTGGGCCAAGGCCACTACCCAGATTGGGTTCTCGCTACACACCCCACTTGTCTCTGCAGAGTCTGGGACTCCCAGCCCTAGGTGGGAGCAAACAGTGATGCCCAACCTCCTGTCCCATGTGTCCCACATGGCCCAACCCGGCCTTGTGGCCCTCCCTCCTAACTACACCTCCTCAGTGAGGTCACTGAGTAGGATCCCCAGGCAGGGCAGACTCAAGTCCACCAGCTACCGGCCCCATGCCCACCCCACATTCCACAGGATCCTGAAGCCCATCCTTCTGGCCTTCCTGCCACTATCCCATCCCCTCTCCTGAGGCCCCAGCCAGCCTCCTCCGCCCTCAGCCAGGTCTACAATTGTCCTTTGGAGACCTGTTGAGGGAGGCCCATCACAGTCCCTGTCTGCAGATGAGTGAACAGACCAGGGAAAGACAGAGGACCTTCTCTGAGCCTGATCAGACCAGCAAAGTATCCCAGGGGTTTTCTCAAGCTCAAGTCTAGGAGACAAGAGCAACACTCAACCCAGTTTAAGGAGGCGGAATCCAAGGTTCAGGGCGGCCATGGCCTCATCCCTGGTCACAACTAGCTAAGGGGAGAACCAGTTTGGATCCAGGTTTCGGAGGAGCCCCTGGCCCCAGAAACGGGTATGCTATGGGGGAAGCTGAAGGGCTGGGGCACAGCGGGTCCCGGGAGAGGTAAGAGGAGCACGGGGGCAGGGCCGCGGGCGGGCTCCGGTGGGGCGGCGGTGCCCCGGCGCGCGTGCCCCCTGGGCGAGCAGAGGCT